TGAAAAGTTGATTTCGATGCAAGTAGGATAAACACAGGCGCCTGCACCTGACCCCCGTAGAAAACACCATCTGCATTCTGGCAGAGTCAAACAAGAACTGGGGGGAAAAGTGATTAAAACAAAATACTAATCACAATGAAAGTCACTGGGCTGCACCATTAAAACTTTGTACATCAGCAGAAAAAACAAATTCAGCATCAGGACACAGACGGGACCCCTGGACCACTCGCCTCGTGTCAGTGAGGGGAGGCACAGCAAAGCACAAAGCAGCAGATGGCTTCACAGATTCTCATGTATATTTACACACAGTTTTTTTAGTAAACCACTTTGATTCAGGAGAAACCACATCCAAAATGCACTCTTGAAATTCCTCTTCAGACATAATTGCACAGAGAGATAAATCTTGCTGTGGTTTCCCCCTCTCTCATGTAACACAACTGTGGGCAATGCTAATAGCACTGAGTGTGCCCTGTGTTTCCTCCCGCTCAGCCCAGGTGCCCAAGTCCAACTCTGCTAAGCAGTTTTCAGATATCGGGGTTGAAACATTCCCATTGGCTTCACAATTACAGGTTTTCCTCACTTGATATAAAAAATAAATCTAAAATAATTTTTTTTTCTTCTAAAAAGGAGGACAATGTCAATAAAACTTGCTAGGTTGGTTCCCAGAACAGCAGCAAAATTCCTGCCCAAATGACAAACAAGCCTCATGACTTTTGTGCCTCCTCTTGCTCTCCAGCTCTCTGCCAGGAGGGGACAGCCGGGGTTCGGGCTCTGCTCCAGGAACAGGGACAGAAGCAGAGGGAACGGCCCCAGGCTGGGCCAGGGGAGCTCAGGGTGGAACCAGCAGGAATTTCCCCATGGAAAGGGGGCTCAGGAACTGGAACTGCCCAGGGAGGGCTGGATCCCCATCCCTGGAGGTGTCCCAGGAATTCCTGGACATGGCACTCAGAGCACAGCTTGGACTCCATGATCCTGGAGGCTTTTTCCTGCCCAAAGGATTCTGTGATTCCGTGAGACACCCCAGTGCCCCGTGCCCAGCACAGAGACGTGTCTCAGCCAGCAGACAGGCAGTGCCCACCCCCTGTGGAGAACAAACCCACTCCTCGCGTGAGGAGTTTTTAAAACATCCTTGCAGGTATAAATAACAAACCCTGAAAAATCCCTGCAGACAAGGGCGTATTTTCCCTGAAGGAAAACACCCCACAGTGGTAATGCAGAACCCACAAGCCCGCTACAATTCACTCCAGCTCACTGAGCCCACCTTACTCCAGCACACAACTCTGAGTGCTCCACCCTGCAGCCCTTCTGCTCTTCTGCCTTGTTTTCTTCTCCCTATACTTTTCCCCTTACTTTGTTTTTCCTCCTCCTCCATTCATTAACTTTCCCTGTTCACCAGCAGGGTACAACACACCTCACCAAAACCGAGCTCTCTCAAAGGCATCCCTGGGCAGTGTCCCCAGCTGGACAGGCTGGAGCTCCCTCCCTCCCAGCTGATGGAAGTGCAGCTTGCCAGCTTTTCTGTGGGACTGGAACCAGCTGGAGAGCGGCTCCCACAGCCAGAGAAACCCATCTCCCCCACGCCAGGGCTCCCTGGAAGCACACACAAACACACAGGCACTGTCCTTCCGCAGTCAGCCTTCCTGCTAGCTGAGCCCCAGTTGTGAAACGCCCCGAAATCTCTGGCAGGCTGTGTGTGCAAGCAGGGAGCAGTATGGTGTGCATGCTGCAGCAGGCAGGCACCCCAAGGGCTCAGACAGGGGTGTTGTGCCCAACATGCAGCACCAGGCACACCTGAACACACCTGAACACTCCTGAACACACCTGGACACACTGAACCTAGCACCACAGCCACGGTGCTGTGCCCAACACACAGCACCAGGCACACCTGAACACACCTGAACACACTGAACCTGGCACCACAGCCACGGTGCTGTGCCCAACACACAGCACCAGGCACACCTGAACACACCTGGACACACCTGAACACACCTGGACACACTGAACCTGGCACCACGGCCATAGTGCTGTGCCCAACACGCAGCACCAGGCACACCTGACACTCCTGAACACTCCTGAACACACCTGGACACACTGAACCTGGCACCACGGCCATAGTGCTGTGCCCAACACGCAGCACCAGGCACACCTGAACACACCTGAACACTCCTGAACACACCTGGACACACTGAACCTGGCACCACGGCCACGAGAAGGCTCCCGAGTGCGGGGATGGGGACACCACAGCAGCCAGGAAGGGAAGCAAGGAAGGAGCAGCACAGCTGCCCCTTGGGCACAGCTCCCCAGAGCCCAGCTCCACACCGCCCTGGCCCTGGGTGGACCAGCTGAACCAGCACCAGCTTCATCTCTGCCAAAGAACAAGCCCAGCCAAGCACTGGCAGAAAAGATGCTGAAGAAGTGGAGACGGCTGGGAAGGTCCTTAGGACACTCTGGAACACCAAGTTTACTCTTGGAGTCACTCAGAACTCAACCCACACAGCCCACAAGGCCAGCTGCAGCCGTGCCCTCCCAGAGAGGGGTGACACAGGAGCTCCTGACTGCTCCACACGAGATCCAAGAGCAGCTGGGGCTGCACAGGCGCAGGCCGAGGAGAAATGGCAGTTCTTAACCCAGGGTAAGCAGTGGAGAAGCCTCCGGAGCCAGGAGTTTCACACCAAGAGAGCAAACACATCCTGCTCACCCCCGGGACATCCCCCCTGCACTGCCTCAGCCGTGACAGGAACCAGTGGTCAGTGCAGTCCCAAAACCAGTCCCCAGCAAGCCAGGGACAAAGACTGGAAGCTCTGCAGGATTTGGAGTATGATTTTAGTACTGGTTGTGTTACCAGTGACTACAATAAACGTTAACATTCTATTTACATACACCCTGACAAAATTATCAGGGATTATCTGCTGGATTTCAGCAGTCAGGCTCATCCTTGTTGAGAGATCCATCACAAGGAACCACGTATGGGCAAAATTTGACATACCAAATGTATATTTTCCTTTTTTTATATTTTTAATTGATTTCTCATTATATTGTTGTCACTAGTAAGTCTTCCACAGTATGTCACACACGAACCCAAGTATCAGCTGGTTTCTTTATCTAAGGAAGTTATTGGGATGTCTTAGGAGATCACCATAGCAACCGTGCCATGACAGTAAATATGAGTTCACTGGAACAACGCTGTAATTGCTCTGAGCACTCTAACAAGGAATTATGGAAAAGCAGGAGACATCAAGGAAGCGATGTGCCAATAATTGGGACACGGTGAAAGCACTGATTGAAAGTACCTGGAAGGTGTTCCCAGGCTCCTGTCAGTGGCCACTCAGCTGCAGAGCTCACCCACCCTGCTTGGCTGCACAGGGTAGAATCAAAAGCCTCTCAGAAAAAAATTTTGTTTTCAGAATGTAACTGCAGTGAAGCCTCCGATTTAAGTGTCTTTACTCGGCTTGCTCAGTGTGAATTCTAATAAAAGCTTGTTGGAGAAATAACCAGCTCTTGTGCCAGGAAAAGTTTGCCTGATTTAACCCATCAGCTGCCAGAGCAGCACAGACAGGTGTGGTCCCCTCAGCGAGGGAATTCCGACGCTCACATCACTGCCCCCAGACCCAGACTCGCACGTCTACCTCCAGGTTTATGCAGTGCACAGTTCAGCACCCACACACAGGGATTTTCGCCTGGTGAGTGCCACGGGGCCACGGCAGCGCTCAGGAGCGCCCCGGGGCTCGCCTGCTGGCCCGAGGGCTCTCTTCCCCACCCACAGTCAAAGTTCCTTCCTCTGCTCCTCTGAAATTCCCCCTGCACCCGAGATTTCTAATGCAGCATGGTATTTCACGGCGTATTCCTAAACATCCCCCCCAGCTTGTATTTTGGGAAAAACCCCAGAGCGGCTTTCTGCACGGGCAGCAGCGCTCGGGCGCTGGTGCCGGCGGCGCTTGGCCCTTCCTCGGTCCAAGCGGGGCCGTCCGTGCACGAACCGAAACTTCGCTGCTGAGCTGTGCCCTCGCCGCCCCCTTCCCACCCCCGCTTTAACGGCGGCGCCCGTGGCCCGTGTCCCGTGTCCCCTGTCCCGTGTCCCGTGCCCGTGCCCGTGGGGTGCCCGTGGGCAGAGTCCCTGCGTCCTGGGGGAGACAACGCCCGGCCGGACCCCCGCAGCCGGGCACGGCCCCGCCGGGGGCACCGACCCCAGTGCCGGGCGGGGCAGCTCGGTGTCCCGGGACAGGACACCCCGGGCTGGGCACCCCGGGCTGGGCACCCCGGGACAGGGCACCGCGTGGGCAGCGCCGCCGGGGCAGGGCAGGGCAGGGCAGGGCAGAGTGCCCCGGAGCTGGACATCCGGGCTGGGCAGGGCAGGGCAGAGCATCCCGGGCAGGGCGGGCACCCCGAGCATCTCGGTCCGCACTCACCGTCCTCCCGCTCGTCGAAGACGGGTCTCTTGGAAGAGGAGGCGCTCGCTCCCATCCTCTTCTTCCACTTGCTCCAGGGAAACATCGGGGCGAGCGGCTGGCATGCCCCGCGGCCTCTCCCCGCCGGCTCCCGCGGCCGGCCCCGCCGCCGCGCTCAGCCGCCCCGCGCCCCGGCGCCGCCCGCCCGCATGGCAGCGCCCGGCGCCGCCGCCTCCCCCCGCTGCCCGCGGCGGCCCCGGCGCGGCGGGGCGGGGACGGAGCCCAGCGGGCCGGGGGAGGCGGGCGGGGCCCGGGGCCGGGGG